GAACGAGGCAACACTATATAATAATGGACAATTAGCCATAACGATTTTGTCGTTGGTCCTGTATGTTTTATTGATATATAGCTACGTAGTTTTGAAAGAACGAGGCAACACTATATATGCACAATTAGCCATAACGCTTTTGTCGACGCGTTTGCTACTGCAGTTTACTACATACGAAGCGTGTTTTTTAAAGAACGAGGCAACACTATATAATAATGGACAATTAGCCATAACGCTTTTGTCGTTGGTCCTGTATGTTTTATTGATATATATAGCTACGTAGTTTTGAAAGAACGAGGCAACACTATATATGCACAATTAGCCATAACGCTTTTGTCGTTGGTCTGGTAGGCTTTATTGATATATACGTAGTTTTGAAAGAACGAGGCAACACTATATATATATACGCACAATTTGCCATAACGCTTTTGTCGTTGGTCTGGTAGGCTTTATTGATATATACGTAGCTTTGAAAGAACGAGGCAACACTATATATATATACGCACAATTAGCCATAACGCTTTTGTCGTTGGTCTGGTTGGTTTTATTGATATATACGTGGCGGAAAGAACGAGGCAACACTATATGTGCACAAGTAGGTTAAAAATTAACACTCCCCCCCCATTAAACCATCTTCACCATCTTACACCATATTCACCACCTGACAACAACTGTTCAGCTGAACCATCCTACACCATCCGACACCACACTACAAGCGTCTGACAAACAAAGTATCTGACACCATCTTACACCATCTTCACCACCTGACAACCGATGGCTATATTGGACATATATGGAGTCTAGATTCTAGAATTTCTACAGGAATATCCAAAATGCCTAAAGGAAATTAGGATAATAGAAGAATTTGAGACTAGACTTAAGAATTCCTATAGGAATTTTTCCTATTAAATTCCTATAGGAATTACTGTAAGGGATTAGTTCCCCTTCAAACAGTAGCCTTTCCTTTGCAAAAGAGGACAAGTTTGGGATGTTGGAAGTCACAGCAGTTTCCTTTTGCACACCAATCTTGGTGTGACATATAAAACGGATAAGAGCTTTTGGAAGATCAGTGTTGTTTATATTCAAATCACATTTTCGATAGTCACATGAAATTTGCTTGGAAGATGGAATTTCAATGATCATTGAACTATTCTTTAGTTCTATTCAAATTAGCCAATTGTTCATCGACAAAGAATGTCGTATCGGCTGAAGATGAATTTTGATGTTAACTGGACTCGCACTATTTGTATTTGAATTAGCTAATTGTTCACCGTCAAAAGATTGTCATATCCAATTTTATACCTTCAAGTTCAGCTGTTTACACATGTGCAACTACAAGTACGGTTACATACCTCAACTGTATTGATGCCCACATTACTGCCGGCAGCACAATTTTCATGTTCTTCGTGCCCCGCTTTCCTTTGCACTAGTGATGGGCTCTGTGATGATATTATATATGATTACCGATTACTTGGTATCGTACCACCCGATACCAGGCCCAAACAGGAAGTCGATACTGCACGGTATCGAAAAAGTGTTTCGATTACGTTTAATTTCATTATAATCCTGTAGTTGTGTCATGGTTATCTCTAATAAAATGTATGTACTTTGTTGTATTTTGCTGCATTTTAATATCAATCAAACTTCCTCTATACTTTATTTGACATTCTATTCTCGCCGACAGAATAAATTATGAAAAAGGCGGGAAATAAAGTAATTTTTGTTTTTGTCGCATGCCATATATGGCATGCAACTTTCATATAGCTCTAAGGGACGGACCATTTGATTTTTCATGGGGGGGGGCGCAAATCCGAAAAAAAATATCGAGCATGTCTCGAATGGAAGAAAAAGAATCGAACATTACTAACACCAGCAAAAAAAATATCGAGCACAAAAAAATTCTAAATTAGCAATACTCTATATTGAAAGAAAAATTCAGTTTCCCTTAGTTTTTTTCTGTTGAGTGTTTCGGTTCTGCCTTGGTTAACAATACCGGAAGTATACATGCAAAATACAAACCGATACAAACCAGTTCTGACAACTTTGACTTCAATAATGGTATCCCTAAAAACCCCAATCTTAACACTGAAAGTCCCACACTTCTGTAAATTCGACATCGATTAATGAGGGTGGGAAAGGGGGGGGGGGTATGATTCACGTTTCACAACAAAAAAATACCGTTTCACAATTCACGTGCCATAAAAAAGCAATTTCACATTTCACGGATAACGAGACTCTAATAAAAATAGTATAATAATAATAGCTTTAAGATTATGTTTAATGCATGGTACAGTACTACGCTTTAAGTTCTCTTCTCTGCCTGGCAGTTAAAAACTACTTACAAGTTTGAGTGATGAGTACGTCCGACGATCTCCGAAAGGCCTCCGAAGTTTCTACTCTTGTGCAATCGAGTGAGATCGATCATATAAATTATTATCGCGAATATAAAATAGATCGGAATAAACAAATCAAAATCACAGTTCACGAAACAGACATCCTTAATTCCCATTTCACGGAGCATTTTTTGATCGACAATCACGCCTCACGGCTGTAGAACAAATCACAGATCATGACAGTAAAATCAAGCATTTCACACGATCAAATATTGACCATTCACGCAGTGGCATAGACAGGGGGGGCTGATGGACTGCCCTTGTAAAAAGATGAAATCCGGGTAGAAATTAGGGGGGGGCGATGACTACCCATGTGACTACCAATCTCATCTGTTCACCAAATTGTCTATAAAAGTTCTAATCTTTCCTAAATCTAACTACAGAAAATGATGCCTATGGTGGTTATTGGTTAAAATGCGTTTTAAAACTTCGATTTAACTATTAACACGCGACCAAGTAAGCTTCGTTGAGTCAAATTAAGGATCCACATTATTGAGAAATCATTAAAAATCAGGTCTTTCCTGCAGTAAATAATCTTCAGAATTATGCAAAATCTCTCCCCAGAAACACGGGAAATCGCCATTGAGGGACTCCAGATTTCAAAATTTTCCCGGGGGAGAAGGCCCCCGGACCCCCTAAAAAGGCTTACGCCTTCGGTGTTCGATATATGCCCTCCCAAAAATTATAGTCTGGCTACGCCACTGCATTCACGGGTCACAAAAATACCCTTTCCCACCCGGCTCATTAATATCGCTCTCTGATTCTGAATAAAAATCGCAGTTTATAATACGTATTGGGAACACTGATACGATTGGGAACCGTGAGAATTTGTATATAGATGCCATTACGCCAATGCAAAATGGGTTACACACTTTAATACACTTGATCCAATTTTGATTGGGACTATGGTCTACATTTCGTAGACCATAGCCCCGTATAAAATGGGCCAAGTATAAAATTGGCCAAGTATAAAATGGGCTGTGATAGTTATATCATAGAATAGGAAGGTATACCAGAAGTCTCACTCAAGCAAGTATTTGTCCGCGTTTTTACAAGCGATTCGTCCGATCATCAATCACGCCATCCTGGCTAGTACAACCGGCACTTTGTACCTATCAAAACCTGATAAAAACTTCCGGCTGTACTAGCCAGGATGGCGTGAGCGAGTTAAAATTTTCGTGGGTTACACTTCTGCTATACTTTCCTATTTTGTGGTTATATGCTGTATATTCAAATACATTCTTCAACCGGAATATAACCATACGTGGTTATTGTATTAACGCTATAGTAAAAATTTAAAAAAATATCGTGCACGCGGCAAGATTCGATAAAAAAAAATCGTGCAGAGTCGGTGATGTCCAAAAAAAAATCGAGCACTCTCAAAAATGCGCCTACGAAAAATCAAATGGTCCGTCCCTTACTAGTGGTGATAGTGATGTGTGAGCCCCATAAAATTTTGAGATTTTATCAAACAAGTACTTAAATTTCTAGGGGATGCAAATTTCTCTGGATAGGGTGGGGAAAATATCTGATGGGGGTGCAAGATATTGCACCCCTCTACGTAGACTTTCCCAAAGTCCTTTCCAGTTTTTGCTGTTCGTAAGTACGTTGGAAAGGACTTTTCTCACTTGCAGCGCATCAAATCTACCGGTGGATTTTTTGACCAGGGTGTGTCATTATTCTAGTCAATAAAAGCGCATATATAAATTATTTGAATTAATTATTCAAATGTTAGGCTTTCGACTTATTTTAGTTATTTAATACAAATAAACAAAACAAAGTCATTTAAAAGTAGATAATATGGTTACTTCTCGAAGATGCAATAAAATATTGGCAATTAACAGAGGCGAACTGTTGTTTAACTGAGTTAATTTTCTAAACTAAAGTGGCATTTTTGTCCCGGCCTACAAGAACAGCAAACAACATTTGTTAGAATGTTTAATAATAGTGTAGTTTCACTACATTGAACTCTTCCAATTACCACTGTAATAGTTCAATGTTTACGCAAATTAACATTCGTGTTTTTATGTCCAGGAAAGAATCGCTGTCGCTTATCTACATCTTCCATGTCTTTGCCGTATTCTAAACACAACATGTGATGGAATTTGGAGAAAGATTGTCTTGAAAATAATTACTAATATAGTGAGCTGTCATAGAAAGAAGTACAAATTTACCGTACATTTATACGGAATTTTAATCAAAATTAATAGCACTATTTTCGCTTATGTTATTAACAGTTATTGTCATTAGAAATTACTGTGTTCTCAAATTTGAGCCAAGCGGAAATCTACGATCAAAAAGTCAAAGGAAAGTCTATTTACAAAATTGAGTTGAAATCGACAACTTTTGTGAAACTTACATGCGTAATAATTAACTGCAATAATTTTCGCTCCAGAATTTTTAATCGGATCCAAATTCCTGCACGCGAGACAAGTTGATCTTGCTATTCGAGATCGACTTGTGGGCAAGTCTACCCTCTACACTGCCCCCAGAAAATTCATGTATATGAACACCAGACAATTTGACTTGTCCAGGGAAGGTGTTGGTAGTTAATGAGTGAACTAATGCTGTTTATTTACCAGTGCGCAGACTACATTTAGGAATGGTTTTGGGGAAATTACTCCCCCCTCACAAACCCTTGATGTATCCTGGTTTCCCTTAATTTCAGGAGTGCATATCACTTCCTTCTCGCCGCAACATACCTGTTGAGTCATCTGATTGTGACAAAAATGTACCTCACGTTGTCATCGTTAATTCGACAAATCATGCAATAATAAGATGCCACAAGTGTTACAGCTGCCCAGTGAGTCAGGGTCTCTTCATGCAGTGCAATGGCCAGAATGTAACCAAATCAGAGTTAAAAGTTGAATGTGTGTGGTGTGTTGCTGGTGTGAATTACTCTGCTGAACACACAGTCAGCCGGTGTCAACCATGTCTCCCAGAGGTAATTGGTATTTCTGTTTTTTACCACTTATGGGCCATGTTTTCGCATGTGTCAGCTTAAGTTTATCTAATGGACATTGTCCAAGGCAGGGCTGCAAATAAATATTTGACTTGACAGGACATTTGTCCGATCATTTTTAATTTTGGTCGGACATAACTTGAATTTGGTCGGACAAAAACCAACATCACTAAATTTGGTCGGACATATATACGTCACAACGTTAAGTAAAATGCTAGAATGCCTTATTGCAAAATGCAAATTGAGTGAATTTGCAATCGGATTTGTCACAGCAAAAAAATGCATGTGGCAATTTTTTTTGGGATCGGACCAATGTCCGATCAAAATTACTTTTGCTTGGACATTTGCCAAATTTAGTCGGACATTGTCCGATGTCCGACAGTAATTTGCAGCCCTGCAAGGATAAATTGATTAAATTTTGCTTAAATTTGGATTGGACTGCAAGCGTTCCCTCCTTTCTGCGGGTTTAGATTTCCGGGCAAGCGATAAAGGAAAAGAGGGACTGCCGACAACATATCAAGAAACTAAATATGTGTTTCCCACACAACGCGAAATTCCCATTGGTCGAAATTGATGCGCGTGTCAATCAAATCTGATACATAGTAATTATGCTATAAATGTTGATTTAATAAATACTCATGACATTAACGGTTCCTATTGGATAGATTTAATTGGATATAAGTAATCTTTATGCAAAGGCGGAGCCAACTTGACAAGAGCAAAAAGTGGGTGTATTTCGTTTCTTGATGTGTTGTTGGCGGTCTCGCTTTCCCCAGAGGAACTGCTCACAGTCTAAATTTGGATGGAAATTGGATGAAATTTGCTTTGGCAGGCAGAATAAACTGAATGCATAATTACATCGTCAGCTTAGAATTATTTTGTCCTAGGTAATAGGACACAGGACAAAATAATTCTAACCTGACGACATGTATAGCCCATAGTATAATATCCTGTGTTACTTAATACCAAGGCATATAATATACTGGAGGGCCCATTTGGTCCTGCAGTTCTGACTAGTTAGTGGCTCAGACTGTGTCCTGCCTTGAGTGACCTAAATCCTACTCTGGGGAGCCCATACCTGGGCCCTGGTCTTGGTTTTGCCCCCCTTCCCCCCAAAGGTCTTGGCCCCCTGAAACATTTTAATTGAAATATTTCCAATTCAGAGATGTATAGATGGCGAAAAGATGGAAGGAAAATGTGAGCCTAGTGGGGACAAACGAACTTGTGAAAGATGTGAATTAGAAAAGTGGTACTACAACAACACACAAAAGACTTGCTTGCCTTGTGATTGTCAAAACGTGACGGTAGAAATGAAGCGTATTTGTAGTGGTCTTGGTGTTACCTTGCAGTGTGATGTACCTACCCGTGTATCAACAAATACCACATCATCTCCCTCAAGTGATGCCACGAGATCTGTTTGGAAAACAACATACACCATCATAGCTATAATAGCTGTGTGTATTTTGTCTTTGTTGCTCCTGTATTCCTGTTGTGTGACAAGAAGAGTAAAGAAATTGAAGCATGACCATCCTCACTTATCAGTGTGTAGTAAGGAGTGGTTTTGCCAAATATTCATCTTCAAAAATGCGACAAGAAGTCGACCACCATCTTATACACCAAGAGATGCACATGCACAAAATGGAAATGGTAGGTTCTTGTTTACAAAATTGTTTTTATCAAATATTTATTCAAGCATGCGAAGTAAGAATACTGTTAACACCCTACTGTATTATTTTACTCTGTCTAACAGTTTGTTAAGGCGAGAGTCCTGGCACTCGGTGGGTTGAAAATACAAAAATCTTACCCTACACTAAAAAGATTAAAGGCCTAGCCTCTTCAAACACGTTGGTCCCAGCCCTCGAAAACCGTCAAAATTGAGGTTGGCAAATAAAATGCCGACCTAAATCTGACCTACACAGGATTGAACAATGCTTTGCTGCCCACATTGTTCACATTTGTCAACAATATTGAACAATATTGTTACACTCGATTCAGGCTCAGCAATATTGTTCAATATTGTTGACAAGTGTGAACAACATGGGTAGCAAAACATTGTTCAATCCTGTTGAGCAGCGGGCTCGACGTTTTTTGCCATGTAGGTTGGCACGTCTCGGCATTTTTAAAAATCTGTTTCCATGTCTTGGAGCACTAGAAATCTCGTATTTACGAATCATTGAAATCGGAATATAAAGCATGCCTTTTTCCGTGGAAATGCGAACTACACTATTAAACACGACAGCTTTTCTTTTGCAGTCTTACCAAAATTATTTTTAGAATACCCGTCAATTTTTAAACCTTACACCAAAGTGTGTTTAGTTAACCGAACTACGAATCGAATTCTATAATCACAGACTTTTTAACAGCAATCAGCACCAAAAAGTTCTTACTTTGGCTGAATTAAGGTCAGCAAAAATTTGTCATTGCCGAATGCCGACCTTGTTTTTGAGGGCTGTGGTCCAACATGTTGGTGAAACATTATTGAACATTGTTGGATGCAGCCTCATTTGAACATTAGACAGATTTAGATTGAGGACGCAGACGTCAAAGACGATGTGAAAATGGGGTCAACATCCATACATGGGCTGTAACACGCCATTTTCACATCATCTTTGACGGCCGCGTCATTGTGGCCGATGTTATATCAGGTTTGACTTTGTTTCAAATTTTAGTCCAACATTTTGCAACATTAAGACTGTTTGACGATTTTGGACTCATTTGAATGTGGCTTAAAGTTCTTTAATTTTGCAATTAGGTTTTTCAGAGAGAGCTTTATTTCTTCGTCAAACTTCATGTCCTGTAACACAAAATGAGAAATACGTCGTCAACAACAGTCCTCATGGTATGCAAGCATTTCTAACTAAATCACACAACTCCATTATGTTGCCTTGTAAAATAATAGACTTCATATATGTATATGCGAGGCAGGGGATTTAATTTCTAAAGAAATGTATTTGTGTTCTCTACAGCATCTTTGAAACAAGGTGACAGCCAGGAAAATATCAAACTCCTTTCAAAAATTACAGGTAAGAATGCAAAGTATCTAAAACCTATTTGATGCATTTGCTTTTCTCATTTAGGGCAGTGCCTCTGCATGTTTCTTAACCTATTTCCATGCAATGTGCCGATAATGCACTTTTCACATACTGCATGTCATTGTGTTCTTTCTAATGTGGTCCGATCATCAGCTAACATTGCTGTGTTAACCAGATATACTACAATGCAACCTTGTTTCGATTTTTTTGTTTTTCAGAATGTGAACAAAGAAAACTGAAATTTTTCGACATGAATTCAGAAACCGTTCGTAAAATCCTCCAAGCATTGAAGCAGAACATCGACACTGGCATGGGTTATCCCACTCTGGCTGGCCTCATGGGATTTTCAGCCAATCGGGTGAAGGAATTTGAAGAGGATGGCAAACCTTGCAGGAATATGTTCGAATGCTGGAGCAATTTAGATACCACAGCAAATAACGTGCTGAAGTTGAAAGATTTGGTGGTGAAATTAAAAAGGGACGACATTTTGGAATTGTTGAAGTCAGAGTTAGAGAAAGCAAAAGAAAGATGTCATTGCCCAAACTGTCTTGACATCAGAGTCAACCAGGTTAGTCTAAATCAGGGACAGAACCATTGCTAACGATTGCTATGACTTGTAAAATGTGTGAGGTTCAAATGTTTTCTTCAATGAGAGGTTTCAATGTTTGGGTGTGACTTTCCCCAGCTCAGAAAATGTTGCTTCTTACATTGTAAATGTTTGACCATGCCACAGATTTTTGTGGTATTTTGCAATGAGCTTTTGAATTGTAAATGTTTCAACGTGCATTCTGAAAGCTTTTGAATTGTAAATGTTTCGACGTATTCTGAAAATGTGCAGATTGTTTTAATAAGCTAAGATTTTTAAGCGGCATATGAAGAATTCAGCTGTCAGTTGAGTGTTGGTGTAGAAACACAGATTGAGTATTAGACTTTATATAATAACTACAGTGAAACACGCAATTTGATTGGTCAATAGCCGTGCAGGATGAGGCTATCCTGCACGAGGAATTAAAATGCCTTCGCGGGATTTTCGCGGGATTCTCAAAATGTCATTGTTTGATTTGTTTCACTGTAGTTATTTTATAAAACAATTACCAAATGGTTTTCTAAGCAGGATAGCGTGATCCATGCACTTGGGATGTTGGTCGACTTTCGGAAAGCGTAAAAATACACTCGCTTGCGGCTCGAGTATTTTTACGCTTTCCGAAAGTCTCGCGACATCCCTCGTGCATGGATCACGTAATCCTGCACGGAAAACCATTCGGTATTCCTTTAATATTGTTGCTGGCGTTAGATGTCTTGTTCGCATGTTGCACTTTGATGTTTGTTAAGGGAGGGGGGACCACTAGATATCCTGGGAGGGAGAGGGGAAATTTTTCTTGCAATAATTTTTTTAAGTTCGGAGCTTTCTAAGTCGCAGGATTTTTTTCTTTAATGGACCTTTCCCCTAAAAACAAAAAATTTGATCCAGACAAAAGGTTCATCACAGTTTGAAAGAGCATCACAAAATTAGTAATATTCCAAAGTTTCGTTGCGAAATGTTGTAAAATGCGGATAATATAGCCCTGCGAAGTTTTCAATTTTCAGTCATTTTGTATTCCGCACAGGAAATTGACAGCCCAATCGGGTGTTGGGGCATCAATTTACCGTTTGTAATCTAAAATGACTGAAAATTGCAAATTTCGCAGGGCTATATTATCCGCATTTTACAACATTTCGCAACGAAACTTTGGAATATTACTAATTTTGTGATGCTCTTTCAAACTGTGATGAAATTTTTGTCTAGACTTGTCTAGATAAAAATTTTAGTTATAAGGGGAAAGGTCCATTACTTGCATGATATTTTTCAACTTCCACTTTGCATGATTTTGGGGAATTTTTTCTACGCTGTTCTGTTACAGTTTGTGATGCTAATTAGGACGTTGAAACATACAGCACAGGATACAACATGCATAATAAAAGTCGAATAACGTCCAAGGAAATTAATATGTTATAAATAAATAACAAAATCACTTACACTTTTATTTAGCTCCTAAATTTTAGCCTTGAAACATCAAATTGTAACTTACTCACAAGATAAAAACGTTTAGCAACTCCAGAAAGATAAAGTATATATTAAGCTGAGAAGGTTTAAAAGTTGGTTTTATTATATTTATAGAAAACTTGAGATATCCGAGCAGATTATATAGAACTTTAATGCTGAGTATCAGACGTATAAAATATAAAACAAAACACATATTACGAGGTCGATATTGTTTGCAAACATTTTTGAAAGCAGTCGATTTTCGATATATTGAATGAATGATTATTAGGAGACTGAGATATTAAGTCGTTAAAGTAGAGTGAAAAATTTTCGGATTTAAAGAAGATTTATTTATCAGCTGAATTCTTCAGTAAGGGTAAAAATGTTGAATTTTAATGTGAGCGCTTACGGGAAGTCTTAGCCATAAGCCTCGTTTTCATGATAGAAATATTGGATTTAATCTTTAAAGTACTATCATGATCTTGTTACAAGTGTACATATTTACGATATCATACATTTGTATTAGAGAGAGCCTCGTTTTCCTGTATGTAACAATAGGCAGCTTAAGATGCACTAAATCTACGACGCGGACATGACGAAAAACTGCCTCTAGTTTCACTTCACGGGTAAAAACTTTGGATTGTTGGTAAACAAAGCCAGGGACACAAGAAAAACGAAGTAAAACTAGTCTCCAATTATTATGTCTCCAATATCCGTGTCGTAGATTTGGTGTATCTTCATCTCCTTATTAGTCAAAGCCCAACGTCTTAGTCATGAAAACGAGGCTCTATAGCCAAGGTGACGTACCTTGCAGAAGCATGTATTACGTCATCCTCGTTCCCAGGTATCACTACCCTGGATTCCAGAGCCTTCGACAGTAAATAATAAATTGAAACGTCGCGAAGGCTCTGGTTCAACGGGGAGATTCTTTGATTAAACCGCACCAATCACAAAACAGAATTAGTGGTTTTAGTACAGAATCTGTACTAAAACCACTAATTCTGTTTTGTGATTGGTGCGGTTTAATCAAAGAATCTCCCCGTTGAACCAGAGCCTTCGCGACGTTTCAATTTATTATTTACTGTCGAAGGCTCTGGAATCCAGGGTAAGGTATCACGTCATCAGTGACAAGATAAAGTTCTCTAAAACTGAGATCTCAATCACGAAAACGAGGCTCTATCTAAGGCGACGTACTTGCAAGAAATGTGTATTTAACGAGTGTTCTAGCCTCCTCCGCAGACATCTCGTGGTCTAAAGGCGATGCCTGCGGAGGAAGCTACGAGTTTTCATTGTTCTACCATTTTTTCCTGCGGTACGTATTAGTGTCTTAAGTTATAATGTAAAGTTATTAAAAGCTGTAATGTTTTAATATAAGTTAATGCTTGTACTACACATAGAAAATATTTAGTAGCAGACCAGGTATTCAATAAGGTTGTTCAGAACGTTATCCATTGCGGGTTCATGGATAGAATTATAAACGTTGGCTGATATTAGAGGTGAGTTTCACTGAGCATTGTCGACATGATGGTCACTAGCAGTTCTCAGAGGGAGAAAAAATAATGTTAGTTCTTCATTAAGGTTGATTTACACTATAAAAGTTTCTGTGACTTTGTATAAGTAAACTATTGAAGGATTTGTAAGAAATGTTTGAGAGAACTCGATGTTTAACATTAAGTCAGTTGCCTGAAACATTTCTTACAAATCCTTCAAAACTTAGAATTTACCCATGCAAAATTCCTACTGTGATCACAGGGACTTTGATATTGTAAATCAGCCTTTATTAGCGGGAGAAAATAATGTTAGTCGCGGGTTTGAAGACAAAGAACAAGGTTGTGGTGAGACCACATTTCTCGTGTCCTGAAGTTGACGATCATCTGCTGTCGTGCTTATTGAGACTCGCCAATAATTCGTCGTGAAGTTTGTGTAGCTGGTCTTATAAACTAATTTCGACAAAGCGCAATAGAACACCAGAAACCTGGCGCTGATGTAGTGTAGCTTGAATAATGTAGAACATGGAATGTTTTAGCCATTTCCATGTAAATAATATGCTTAATTGTAGATTGTTTTTGAACAATAAAAATAATTTCATTTTACAAGTTTAGTTATTTTTTGTACTCTGTGTCCATTTATGTCGTATTATTGGCTGCTGGTGCGTTCGATGCCATGTTTTTATCAACCTCGTTCCCAGGCTTTCTTCTCTACGCAACGTTTGCGTCTGGTCATCTTTAGCTGCCAGTGACGGTAATTCAAGGACATTATATCTTCATAAGATGAAGTACGCGCAAACAATCCCGCTGGTCTTTCCATTTTCCCCACGTTTTTCGAAATTTTAAAGGTAATTTTTTATTTTAAAAACTTTCAAATTTTCAACAAAATATGGTGTTTTAAATAGAGTATTGTTGACATGAAATATTTATAATAACAAGTAGAGAAGGTTGTTATGTCTTAAAGTCCTTCCTGGTGCAGAATGGCAGATGGTTTTAGTGCAAATGTACAAGAAAGTTACATCGGTGTTGGCTGCAACAGAAGTCCATACAGCCTTGACTGGGGATTGAACGGTTTGGTTGCATTTGCAGCTTGTAATTCTATAGCTTTATATCTGCCTGAGGTATGTGGTTACAGTTTATGTAGAGGTAGAGTTTTCCAGAGGAATTGTTCTTCAAAAACTATTTGAAAAATTTTGATAACACTTTGACATTTCAATCGAAAGCCTGTCATCATCAAAAAATTGAGAAAATCGACAACTTGTTCCAGGTTGATATCAACAGGCGTGAACAATGTTGTGCGGCCCACTATATGAACAGTATTGTCAACATGTTACAGCATTGTTCAACTGTAACAACTTGGAACAACATGGTTGACAACATTGTTCACGCCTGTTGATATCAACTTGCAACAACCTGTGTGTTTAGCCATGTAATGAAGGACGTTCATTCAAAGCATCAACATGTTTGCTCAATGACGTCTAAAGGCTGATTTAGACAACACAACTTTTGCGTAAAACTGTCGCATACAACTTGCTTACAACTTGGGTTGTACTAGTATGTTTTCATAAGTGAGTTGTGAAGCAGGTTGCATGCAACAGTTTTAGTGTTGTGTAGTGAAATTTGGATGATTCCTGAGTTAATAGTTACGTATTTTATGACCATTTAATGTCATCCAATTAGATATTAAGCTGAAAATTGAGGTAAAATTATGATGAGGCAACTTTAACATTTCAACCTGATTGTCATAGGGTGAAGAATGTGCAGGAAAGATTAAATGCTTGCTCAGTGCTCATAAACAAAGAATAAATTGTGTCAAGTGGATTGCCAATAAAAACCGAGGTATACATCCAAACACAAACCAGTTTCTTTTCAGTGAGGTTCTGGGGCCGGTTGTATAAAAATTAAGCACTTTTTTAATCACTATTTTGTAGTTAAATAGTGATTAACTCTCAAATACGCGCTTCTTATTGGATAACGTTTCCACTTAACTATGATTAACTTTAATCAATTTTTTATACAACCGGCCCCAGGAAAACAGCGTACTTGGGTATTGAGTTTTAGATATTAGGAATCTATTAAATTGGTGCCCGATGGATTGAAATTCTGTTGGCAAGCAAGTTACTTTATACAGCGAATTAATAGTGTGCAAAGACTCGAAGTGCTTACAAAATATACACATATATCGACACGGAGAATATAGAGTGTCTTCTGTGATAAATGATATGTTTGACGTCTGATTCTGGGCACATGCATGCATCGACCTCCAGGAGTCCTGAGGAAATTCCCTGCGGTTTGAGTCACCACTTTCCTAGTGATTCTTATTACTCACTGTTCTTAAATATTGCATGTAAAGGTCAAGAAAGTGAGTTAATATCTGGTGCAATTGATGGTGAGGCAATAATATGGAAATTAATGGAAGATAAGGTTTGTAGAAAATGAATAAAATGTCTGGATTTTTGAAAAGGAATGCCATGATTCCAATTAGATCTTATTTTGTTTGTCTTTTCTTCATAAAAGTTGTTTCAATGAACCACATATTTTGATAACAGGAGATCAAGATATGATATATTCACATTAAGACAAGTTTATATATAAACCTTTCAACTTTGGAGTCTTGAAATAGCAATTGTGATTTAATCCAAGCAAGTTAGCCAACGCATGTTCTAGTACTATCATACTGTATGACTTGAACAGTTTTCTAATGCTAGTGGTGTCAGCGTGATTTACTGACTGGTCATAGTGGTGCCATTATTGCTGTCTCAGGAATAACTCTTGATCAAGATGGAAATTCAAGAACAATTGTTACCACTTCATCTGCAGATTCTACTGTCAGAATATGGAATAGAAATGGTGATAAAGGTACTGCGATTGTCACATTGCAGTTTTTCAATACAACTTGCTTCATATACTTGATCTTAGTTGCGCAATTTAATTCTAGCGCATGCATACGGGTTAATTTTTGCGCGTAGTTTATTGTTGCGCGCAGTTTATTATTGCGCGCAGTTTATTATTGCGCGCAGTTTATTGTTGTGCGCAGTTCATTGTTGCGCGCAGTTTATTGTTGCGCGCAGTTTATTGTTGCGCGCAGTTTATTATTGCTCGCAGTTTATTAAATAAATTGTGCGCAGTTTATTGTTGCGCGCAGTTTATTATTGCGCGCAGTTTATTGTTCGCAGTTTATTATTGCGCGCAGTTAGTTTTCACACGCAGTTTATTCAGTTCTACGCGCACTGAGTTAATTGTTGCGCGCAGTTTAGTTTTCGCACGCAGTTTATTCAGTTTTGCGCGCACTGAGTTTATTATTGCGCACAGTTTATTCTGATGAAAATGGTATAATTATGAAAAACAAAACTTTATACGTTTTCTAACAAACTTCATTGGTTTATTTACAATTTTCCTTCCATTTACAGATGATTTTGAGTTTGTCCAAATGCTCAATTTTGATGGAGGATTTGCTTTTTCAGTGGCCATCTCAAACCTACCAGAAACGAAAGGTTCAAAGAAATTCATAGTTTTACTTTTGCGTTTGATTAGTAAACCATTGGAACCTAAAAACACTGTAACAATAAACTTTTCTCTGCGTCATTGTTTTTGCCATTTAGTACCAATTCTTGCGTGTGGTTGTGAAAATTCAGCGGTTTACCTGTTTACTGAAAGAGAGTGCAAGGTTTGTTGTCTTTCATTTGTAACGTTTTCTTAAATGAGAAAAAGATGCTGCCATGTTTTAGAACTACCTGATAGCGATATGTCGGTGTCTGAACTACCTGAAAAAAGACTAGAACACTTTTACTCCACAGCAGTGCTAAACTCCTGGCGAAAGGCTATTGCTCCGTGGAAATGTGTTCAGTATTTTTCATGTAGTTCAGAGACAAACCACCGGGCAGATTGTTTGTTTAATGTTTTTAATAAAACAAATAAATTTGGCGATTATTTAGTTTGTTCTTTCTTTGAAACTACATGGCCACGAAGACTGGATACGCGACGTGAACTTCGCTCATTTAGGTAAATAATGCGTTGTGTTTTACCGCAGTGATATTTAGGAAACAGGAGATTAATACAAACATGTTTTAGTTACACACTCAGATTCAGCACTGAGATTCTGCAGCCTGCGCGCAGACTATATAATGACATACCGTATTTACTCGTTTGAGCGCCGCGGCGCTCTTTAAATTTTCAGAGCTTCAGATGCGGTGCTCATTCGGGGGCGGCGCTCTTTAAAAAAAAATTTTATTTGTGAATTATAACAAGAACTTTTAACAATGAAATAAACGTATTAAATGTTTTCGTCACTAAATGTCTCCATTTTGACGGTGGAAAGTTTTTACACTGTTTAGTGCGGCGCTCATTCGGGAGCGGCGCTCTTTAAAAATATTTGATCTCACTGAAATGCGGCGCTTATTCGGGGGCGGCGCTCAATCGAGGGCGGCGCTAAATCGAGTAAATACGGTATGTCATTATATAGTCTGCGCGCAGGCTACAGATGGTGGTCAACCCATAGAGATTATAAATAACACTAGAGGAGGCATTGTAATCTTAATTCAGTAAAAAAAAGGGAACGCGACTATTGGGGGGCAAATTCAAGTCCCGGATGTGTATTCGTGTTCCCATTGGTGGCGAGTTTCAAATCAGCCAATGAGAGCACGATTTTATATCCGGGACTTGAATTTGCCCCCCATTAGCTGCGTTCCCAATTTTTAAACTCGATGCCTCCTCTAGTGTTATTTATAATCTCTATGGGTCAACCTGCAGTTATCAGAGTGGGAAAATAATGTTTTGAGGAAAAGTAAATACAATTTCTGGCTCCTGTCAGTGTCGACATTTCTGCAGTTGGCCACCATCTGATGCTGTCGCTTAACGCTTACTGAAATCCACCAATCACATTTCCAGATGATGATGACGTAATGTTAGCGAGTTGTTCCCAGGATAATTTCATCCGAGTGTGGCGTATAACTAAAGTCACTGATCTCGTAGACGAGTCTGGAGTGATTGATGAGAACATGAAAAGTCTAGAGTTAACTTCAAATAAGTTTTCTGTAATATCGGAAGGTGAGCGATAATATTTGAGGAAATTAAGTCCCATTCACACTATACGCTCAATTTTGATACCATTTTTATCCATGTTCGGATTTATCCATTTTTATCCATGTTCGTTTTGATTTTTTCTTTGTGTGTGAAGATGTGTCGTTGAATTACTCGGCTGTCCTGGAAACGATTTTATCAGGACATGAAGGATGGATTTATAGTGTCTGTTGGCACCCTAGAATCCGCCAAGGTAAAACATTACTGCGTTTAGTTGCTTTATATTCTTTCCATGGTTTGTTTTGCGTGTAGTATTTAGTCGAATGATGATTTTAACTTTCAGACAACAAGTTTCATCAACCGTTATGCTTAATGTCGTCATCCATGGACAAGACAATTGTGATTTGGAGGTTTCATAGCGAGGCTGGAGTGTGGATGGATGACGTAAGTAGCTTCATAAAAATAAACCTACAGGTTCACTCAAGACGTCCAAAATGTTTCCTCTTTCTCACGATGATGAGAACCACGGTAAATCTTCGTTGTAGGTGCGTGTTGGTGAGGTGGGAGGAAACACTCTGGGCTTTTATGGTGGGGTATTTAACCCGACCGGTGAGAAGATCTTAGCTCATAGCTACCAAGGCTCTTTGCACATGTGGAGGAAAAGCGAGAGTTCAGTAAGTTTGATATATGTGCTGTTCATATAGGTAATGTTCTGTTCGTCTTACAATGTTGTTTTGTTCAGGAGTCGTGTTCATGGGAATCAGTGTCGACTGTCAGTGGTCATTTTGCTCCTGTTCAGGTTGGGTGAAGATTTCTAACAAACGTTAAAAATCATACAGAAATACTCTTGCTTTAAAATATAAAAGTGGAGAATATCTCGTGTGTCTAATACTTGATGTAAATACTTGATTCAGGATATTGCTTGGGATCCGGAGGGTGGAGAATTTCTGATATCCCTGAGTTCTGATCAAACAACCAGGATTCATGCGCCGTGGAGAAGGTCTGGGTACAAGGTAGGTAGACACACGTGACGAGCCAGATGACATCCTCGGTCAGCCGTGAGGCCTTGGGACCGAGGATGGCCAGATGATGATGGTCAGCTTCAAAATTGATCACTACTACATAGAATGAAAAGAATCATTATTTTCTCACTTTGGAAACTGCAGGTTGACCATCATCTGCTGCACGATAGTGCTTAGTGAGACTCGCTAGTCCAGCGCGTTCAATATTATTATTTTTCTGCTAGACAACATGGCATGAGATCGCTCGTCCCCAGGTCCACGGCTACAATATGCAATGTCTGGCGATGATCTCAAGATATAGTTTCGCATCTGGAGCAGATGAAAAGGTAAACATTGTACTGTTTTTCTCCCCATTTTTTTCTTTGTACCAAAAAATGAGGTGATAATGACACAGTGGTTAATTTTGACTCTGCCAAAGCCAAAGGCGACAGGAAACAGGTTTCTTCCTGTAGTAACGCTAGACCGTAAAGAAATGAACAAGCAGAGCAATACTGATAGAGATATCCACGCAGCATAAATGAAGTTAGTTCGAATTTAAAATAATTTTATTTTTATTTTGTGAAGGTCATTCGTTTGTTTGAAGCTCCCAGAAGTTTTGTGGACATGTTTGCTTTCCTATCTCAGATTTCTGATGAAAATGTAAGAAGTAAAATAATTTAATTTTATATTGCTAAAAATTCTGAAATG